TTTTTTTTTTTTGAAAAGCAAATGAATTTTATTGTGAGTACAAGGGGTACTCAAACCCTTAAATATCAGTACATGAAATTACATGTGGATAATGTGATCAAGACAAAATCATCCACCATTCTTAAAACCAGACCCAGGAAAGCAATACTCCCATCAAGTCTCTATATCCTGTTTGTCAAGCATCTCACTGGATTAGAAATCCATTCCATGTAGGAGAAATTTTCCAAATTCAACAGATTTCTAACCCAGTGAAATGAGCGTGCTTGAACTAGTTCAAATAGCCTATCCTCATCTAACTTCCTATGTTGGAAAGCAGTTTCATTTCTACTTAACCATAATGACCAAACTACAGTAAACCATAACATGCCCCATCCTTTTTTTAAGCTCTTTGACCCCCTGTGCCATCTATGTTGGGTGAATACATCAATACAAGTGTTTCCTAAGACATAATATAATCCCCACCAATTAAGGCATTTTGTCCACAAATTGTAGGAGGTGCTGCAAGCTAGAAAAAGATGTTCTGTATCTTCAGGAAGTTGATCACACCAAAAGCATTTTATATTTTGAGTAGCATCCAAAATTCCACGCTTTGCTAAATTAACCTTTGTAGGAATTCTATCTAAGAGTAATTGCCATGAGAAAGCACTCACTTTTGGTGGGACTTGCGCCTCCCATATTTTTGTGTACTCCAGAAGCCTATTCTCTTCTTTTTTTGCTAGCTGCACATAGGCTGTTCTTGTGGTATATCTTCCCCCGGTCTCTAAGCTCCAGCACCAAGTGTCCGTTGCGCCTTGCACTAGTTTTATGTGTTTTATTGTCTCTAGCAATTGTTGCAAATTTTCCTCTTCCCAAGCTCTAAGTGGTCTTCTCCACTTGAATTTCCAGTCCCAGCTTCCGTTGTTCCAATGTCCCATTTGATTGATGCTGCAATTCTTTTCTGTAGCCAGCAAAAACAGCCTTGGAAAAACATTAGCCAAAGAGGTCCCTCCCACCCATGTGTCTAGCCAGAATAACAAAAATGTTATTTTTACTTCTTACACAGTGTAGGTGGGTTGCATTGGTAGATGGCTGATCTTCTATAAGAGAGATTCGGAGTTCAAGTCCCCCCAATAACAAAAATATAATAAACTGACAACATTATAAGTAAAATTAATAACATAGCAAAAAAATAAAAATAAAAAAAAAACCCATTGCCCTTGACTAAAACATCGTCATGATTTCCTATCAATGTCTGGGGCCCTATGTCATAGTGACTTCTTACCTTCAATCGTCGTCCGTGTTCAGAGGAATATGGCTTGCGTACCAATGCGACTAATAAAATTCATACCAACCAGGCAGCCCCAAGGACTTTTTTTTTCCTTTTTTGACCATGGCAATTTGAGGGAAAAGAAAATATTATTTATGGGAAGGTAATTCGTCTTTGATCATTGGTGTTAGTCATTAAGTCAAAGCATGACAATTAGTCTTAAAGACTTTTATAAAAAGGGAAAATGTTTATTCAATGTACTTGTAAAAAATTAATGAAAAAATATTTTTAAATTATAATAAATTTTTGTTAAAAAAATAAAAAATCTTAAATTTACAAATAAGAAAGATACTCTTTTAATATTTTTTATACTATTTATTAAAATAACATAATTTTATTTATTTATTTATTTGTTTTTGCAAATTCGTCTGGCGAGCACTGATATCTTCTATAAATATGTCTATAGATTTTTTAATTCCAATCCTCAATACTCCTCTTCTTTCCTCTTCGAAATGTCTAACTTCTATGATAGCCTTCTAGATGAGTTCCAGTCATGGTGGTGGGCTAGTTTTGCGGTGGTTCTGGCCTTGTATTATGCATGGCTGATGACCAAGAAATCAACAATAAGAAAGCTGCCGTTGCCACCAGGTCCGCCAGGACTGCCTCTGTTAGGAAACCTTCCCTTTCTTCAACCTGATTTAAATCACTACCTTACCAAATTGTCCAACACTTATGGTCCTATCATGAAGCTCCAACTGGGTAGAAAGATTTGTATTGTTATAAGCTCCGCTTCGCTAGCCAAAATAATCCTAAAAGACAACGATGCAATCTTTGCTAACCATGACGTTTTAGCAACTTCGAAGACCCTATTTTATGGTGGGATTGACATTATTTTCAGCCCTAATGGCCCGCAATGGAGGAAGATGCGAAAGATTTTTGTTCATCAACTGATGAGCAACGCGAGTCTTGATGCCTGCTATGCACTTCGCCGGCAGGGAGTACGAGAAATGGTGAAGGATGTGCATGGCAAGGCCGGTTCCCCCATTGATATCAGCGAGCAAATGTTTATTATGGTGCTGAACGTAACGATGAGCATGGTATGGGGTGCTCCGTTGCATGGGGAGGAAAGGAACAGCATAGGGCCAGAGTTTAGACGGTTAGTAAGGGAGGTTGTTGAATTGAGTTCAACAACCAATATCTCTGATCTTTTCCCAGTCTTGGCTCCATTTGATCTTCAAGGAATCGAGTCAAAAACGAAGAAGATTCTTCTTTGGTTCGATCAGATGTTTGAATCAGTCATAGCAGGCCGAATGAAGGATAACGGTAAGGGTAAAAACAAGGATTTGTTGCAGTTCTTGCTAGAACTGAAGCATCAAGGAGACGATGGAAGTACCCCATGTTTATCGATGGATGAAATTAAAGCATTGTTTATGGTAAATCTAACGAAAACTGGTTCATCTCTGCGATGTTGGGTTTTCCTTATGTATAGGTCTTTCTTTCTTTCTTTCTTTTTACTACAGTAGAGACTTAATGTTTGGCATTATGAAGGTTTAAATCAATAATTTTGATCCAAATCAACGTTTTTAAATTAGTAACCAAGCTCTTCTTGCTATATTTATATATCTGATTTGAGTTTATTTTGTTTTACGATATGCAGGATATTTTACTTGCTGCTACAGATACTTCATCAACCACGGTGGAGTGGACAATGACAGAAATGCTACGGCATCCAGCAAAAATGAGAAGAGCAAGGGAAGAAATTGAGGAAGTGGTTGGAAACCAGAACATTGTGGAGGAATCCCATTTGCCCAAACTGCTATATTTGGATGCAATCATAAAAGAGACACTGCGACTACATCCAACAGTTCCCTTCCTAGTGCCTCGCAACCCCAGCAAGGACTGTTGCGTACTCGGATACACAATCCCTCAAGGCTCCAAAATCTTTATTAATATATGGAAAATTCAGAGGGACCCCGAGGTTTGGGAAAACCCTTTGGAATTTGAACCGGAGAGGTTTTTGAAAGAGCCAGGAAAAGGTGATTACCATGGAAACTTTTTTCATTTTCTTCCTTTTGGGTCTGGGAGGAGAATCTGTGCGGGACTTCCTCTAGCTGAGAGAATGATGAAGTATGTGTTGGCTACGCTGCTACATTCTTTTGAATGGGAAATACCGACTGAGGTGGAGCTTGATGTATCTGAGAAATTTGGAATTGTTATGAAGAAAATGAACCCTCTTGTTGCTATACCTAGTCCAAGATTACCTATATTGGGGCAGTACTACTGAGGTTGGATCCTTGATGGCATTTACCTGCTATCGCAAAAGTCATTGCAAAAGAAGAGAAATCGGTTAAAGTAATATTATATTATCATATATGTTTGTATGAGTGTGCGTATACTTATGAGTATGTGTGATTATGGACACGATTATATACCTTAATTGTGTGCAACTGTTATATTTACCTAAATATGATCTTTTAGCTCTGTTAATTAGTTTTAAATTCTTAGACATATGTATGATTGCTTAACTCTTCTTAATTTACAAAATTTAGAATAATCATCAAAACAAGTTATTAAACTTGTGTTTTAGAAGAAGCCGACTCATAACAGCAGTAGGCAATGCCAAAGAATTTTGGGGGCATTGCTTACCTATGACATCTGAAGTGTTGCATGAAGAAGCACTAGCTTTTTCATATAAGGAAACTAGGAATCTCATCACTCCATTACTTGTTCATCAAGAAGTATGCGTCTTCTATTTTTTTTTTTTTTTCATTCATTTTAAAATTTACATTCAATAATTTTAACTAGAAAGTCAAACCCTAATAAATTAAAATAAATAAATCACCTGAAAAACCCTTTGATTAATTAGTTACTTTATATTACCAAAAAAAAAAACCAATAATTATTGGTTTTGAATTTGCTTTTCCTATGTAAGTAGACCTAACAAAATTAGACATAATCCGAAAATCTAGCACAACCCATCTGTCATAGGTCCTATGTGTGAATTCGAATTTCGAAATGACTCGAACTAAAATTATTCAAACCCAAATAAGTTGGGTCATGAGTGGAATGGGTCACCCAAAATGACCCAAACTTTGTTTAATTCATTTTTTATGAGATTACTTAAAAATTAATTTTAAATTTCTAATTTTTTAATTCTAAAAGTAAAATAAATAAAATACTCAAATCCTAACCTCCTATCAGTCTCACTTCCTCTCAACTTTTCCTCTTTTCCACTCTCCCTCTTCCCTTCTTCATTTGAAGCTCTTTGATCCTTTTCTTTGGTGGCACTCACGCAAAAAATCAAATTAAGTGGCTCACAATGAGCTGCATCATGCAGAATCTTTTTTTTTTTTTTTTACAAGAGGCAAGAATGCCTACTGAAAATCAAAACCCAATATTGGAGGTGCCTTCATCATCGTTAGAAGTACAAAGACAAGAATATCAAGGTTAGTTCTTAGTTATTAATTAGTTCTTAGTTCTTAATTTGTTCTTAGTTAATAATTTGTTCTTAATTAATAAAAATCAATTCCGATCCAATTTCTTCTTATATTTGTTTAGACATATTTTAGATTTGCCTTTTGAACTTTAATATTAAATAAGGCTATATTTTTTGCATAATGCCTTCTAAATATTGAACAAAACTGTATTTTTTGTATAATACCTTTATAAATATTGAATAGGCATTAGATATTAACATATATATTGGATTTGTTTTTTGAATTCTAATCCTTCATATCTCTTTTTTTAATGAAGATTAATATTTTTACATAATTATGAATTCTAAATATTATATAGGTATTATATATTTGACATATATTTTAGTTTCACCTATATAATCATTAATCTTTTCCTTTTCTTTTCATGAGATTAGAATAAAAATTGAACCATCAAATAAAAATTAGCATTTAATAGAATTTTTTAATTAAATAGTTAATTAGTATTAGATTTTGTTAAAGAAAAATAGAGAAAAATATGAAAATTTTTTCTTTTTAATTTTAATTTTACTTTTAATTTTTTAAAATATTAGGTCTATCCAATCCAATATGAAACTTTTGTGAGTGGATTATAAATCTATCCTTTAAATTTGATATCCAAAATAACCCAATTCAAAAAATTCAAAATCCAAGATGAACCAATTCAAACCATCCAATCCAACTTCTTTACCAGCAGGGACGGAGCCAATGTAGGGGGGGGAGGCAGCTGCCCCCTAAGGTTTTGAAAATTTTCAAATATGGTACATTAATTTTTTTTCTACAAGATTTTGTTTTTTGAGGTTTTAAATTATTGGGACTATTTCAAATATAAAAAAATTAGGATTTAGGTAAAGGAATTATTTCTCTCCTTATGATTAATTTTTAAGATATGATAATTTGGTCTAGGTAAGAAAAAATATTAAAAAATAGTTAAAATCTAATTAATTACATTAATATAACTTATATAAGTTTTTACATTAGTTGTATATAATTTTTTTTTGTACAATTTATACATTATGAAAATAATGTTAAATTTATTCTATTCATATAAAATATACATTTCAAAATTAAAGTTGTTTTAAAATAAGTAGCCATTTTAAAAAAATAAACTATATTTTTATACTAT